GAAACTACAGGAAGATACCGGAAAATTAGTGACGAAAAGCAAATAGAATTTTATAATAAGGCTTTAGAAGTGGTTAAAAAGTTTGTACATTTATATTTTAAGCTAAATGCTCAAGAACCTGTACCGAACTATCAATCTTATTTTGAAGCTGGTTCGCCTCTACAAAATAGTGTCATGGATGGGTCATGGGATGATGAAAACATGGATAATTTAGAAGTTGAGATTTGTTCATTTCCTTTGATCTCTTTTAAAGGAAAAGATAATACTAAAAAAATACTTTCCAAGGCAATTGTTCTCCCAAGAGAAAGAGAATAAATTAGTGTGGTGTTTTGTATATTTCATATATTTTTGGGTAATACTATATTATTATGTAATTTTAGGTTAGTATTGATGATAATAATAAATAAATCTTATTAATTTCATGATATATCTTTGGTACATATTGCAAATTTTCCGAAATCGTAATAATGATCACATACTGCATTCAACTATACTTAATACATTCCTGCAATATGATGTTACAAGATTGTGGGATGATCCAAAAACGATATATTAAATCTCCAAATTTATTTTATTATTTCAAAAAAAATGTTTACGAAGGTGACTTTAATCTTACTTCAAACATATCTATTTCACTTAATGACTATTCCCCCATGTTCAATTCAATCAACACCTTTACAAACTTATAAAGTCGAAGGAATTACTGGATTAATATTAATCTACTTGGGTCAACATTTAGCTCGACTTATAAATTTCGGTTTATCTATGTCTTATATTTATGTAATGTACCAACAAGAAGTTGGTAATTTACCGTATTTACAAAATCATGATTACAAATTATCCGAATGGGATTTTGGAGATTTAATCACTTGTATAGCAACGATCTTTGGTGCAATGTTAAGATTTTGGTGTTATAAAGCCTTGGAAAAATTTTTCACTTTTAATATTGAAATAAAAAAAAATCATAAATTGATTACTAACGGACCTTACCAGTTCTTGATTCATCCATCGGTAAAAAAAAAAATGTTTTTTATTACTTATTATATATTTGACACTGTATAACTTTTTTAAGCCAATTTCTTTCGTTACATTATATTTTAAACAATTATTTAAATTTATTAACGCTAACCCTTTTTTTTCAAACTTAATAGTATACGGGATCTTTTTTAACTTTACCATCAAAAATACATATGGTTAATCAACTTCAACCGTATGTTCAATCATCTTTTCCATATATTGTTAGTTACTGTTTATATAATACATGGATACGTATTAGTATCTATGGTTTTTCATTTTTATTATTATGGAATAGGGTTAGAACCGAAGAACAGTTGTTAAAAAATTATTTTAAAAAAGAATGGGATGATCATGCTGCTAAAAGAAAAAGATTTATTCCATGGATTTTTTGAACAAATTATGTGTGTATACAATATTTATATTGTATAATGGTAAATAATAAATATATGGTTGACTATTTTATTTATATCGTTCGTCTGATAATTTTCAGTCTCATTTTATATAACGCAGTATAAACATAAAAAAGTACTATAACTTACTGAATTAAATTATTTCTTTTTTCAACAAATTTCGGTTATATTATTTTATTAGGACAGGGTGAAACCCGCGTTGATTTTGTAGATCAGTGTGGATACGAAACTCGCGTTTTTTAGGTTACTTTCTTGATGCAGAACTATTTTGTAGTGATGTGCATCAATAACGTAACCATCTCCGACGCGGGTTTCACCCTGTCGTATTTTATTTTACTTAAATATTACAATTAACACTACATATATATTTTTAAACCTTATCATCCTCTTTTTTTGTTCCATCACCATCCTTCTTTCTCCAATTCCTACCACTTAAAACTTTTTTAATATTTACTGCATTAAACTTATTCTCACCCGCTGCTAATGGTACATTATTAAGAAATGAACTTGGCAATGGTGTTATGAATTGTGATAACTGTGCTGATGTGATTGATGTTGCTGATGACGTAAGTGATGACATGATGTTCGAGTTTTCTAATAATTTCGGATGTTCAAGTATTTTTTGTTGAAATATTTCTATTAACGGTTGTTGTTCATTTTTCTTTATACCCTTTATATTATTATTTATGTTAGCAAGTTAGAGTGTTATAACAAACATCACTAGTTTATGAAGAAATAAGATTACCTTGATATCTAATATTTTTTGAAAATTACTTATATTTTTATCTGCTATCAATAAAATATAATTCTCAACTAATCCTTCAGGTGGATCATGCGGTGTAAGAACTGTCTTCAAGATAGTTTCTACTTTGCTAATTCCTTTATTCACAATTTTTATAAACCTACAAATAACAGAATAATTGACTTTCTAATCTAAGTACTATTGCAATTAAGATATCAATAATCTTACGTTGGTGGTGGTGGTGCTGGATTTTCCATACCCATCGTTGGCATTTCCAACAATGATGTTTTCAACGCATGTACGTCGAGTAGCATCTGTGAATAAAACTCTGATGTTAATCTATGTATGAATATTGACTGTCTTCGATAACGATAAATGTACCTGTTCTGCTCCTACTTCAGATATTGGCTTGCATTTTATTAAATTATTGGTAAATTTAATAACAAACGATCTGCACAAACCGAATGTAAAAAATCAATTATCAAGCCATCGAATTACCGAACTTTTAATAAATACTTACTCTACAAATTTGTCACAGAATGTTCTAAAGTACCGGTTATTGGTGATATCTTTATGAACACCGACAACACAGCTTAACATCGTTCTATTGAATAGAGTGACATATTCTGATTGATCCCCAACCGATTCTAGATTACTCCATGGTAATTTGGTCATAGCTACAAGTGCAGGATCATAGGACGACTCTATCCCGCGGATCAATGCTCTAACAGATGTAGTTACCACACTACAATCCGAATCATCATATTAATTTTCGTTTACTAATCTACAAGTGCAAAAACAAAATGACTCTTACTTTAGGAAATGATTACGTTCTTCATCAAAATTTATTTTTTCTTTATATTCTTCGTCTATCGTATCTTTTAATTTATCTTCAAGCTAAATTTATGAATAAAGTCAAAATAAAATCATGCCAAAAGGATATTATATAATCAGATACTAAAAAATCTATTATACCTGTGAAGTTGTAACATAACAATAATCTGCTGTATTAATGATAAAACATATCAATTTTAGTTCATCACGAGTAATTGCTCGGCGTTCTTCCCTATAAGTAATTATGTTAACTGTGAAAAACGCGAATATTTAAACAAAAACAATGATACAGTCAAGCTTGATATAGCGAAGTCCACATTCTGATCTAATGCCTTCGATAAATAGAAATATTCGTTTATCAGAAGACAAATTCTTATGTTCAAGCAAATTTTTTAATGCAAAAAAAAAAATCACTATTTCAAAATATTTGCTATGTAAAACCTTATCTCAAGCTTTAACTGTATATAATATTATCGTGTTAATACTCAACGTACTTTGGAAGCCTTCCTATCAAAACTTCACTAGCATAGACGCGAAGCCATTTAGCAAACATATTACATAAATCATAAAAGGGTTGCCGAGTTGATAATTTTGCACAATTAGCAAGTGTTTCACGATAAAAGTAGAACAAGTCTATGCTCGATTGTAACACCGAAGATGAAACGTCTTCATCCGGGAGTGCTTCCGTGTGATATGAATTAATCATTCCTGATAATGTACTATATTATAATAATTTAATAAAAATGATCATGCTGAATGGTACAGCAATATAAAAGAATAAAAGTGTAAAGCGTACTTATCCTCCGCTTCAATATAAAGCCCTAGATAAGGCTCAAATGCCGTGGATATAGTTTTACTAAAATTATATTGTGTGTGATCTGTACTAGATGTTCGATATTTATCCTAAAATTTATTTATTTATAAGTTACGTTCTTAGCTGTAACTAGTATATCACAAAATATTAATGCTTGTACCATGTTAGAAAAACGTTTTGTCAGTTGATTTTCAAACTCAATTGTCAGTTGTAAGTTTTTGAGTAAGGTCTTTACATCCAACTCGTTAGTCTTTACAAGTGTTTTTACTAAATCCTCCCTAATAAAGGACATTCAAAATTAAATAAATATTAAATAAATATAATATGTATATATATAGCTAAAGATAAGTATCATACCTAACGATGTCACAAAATTGAATACTGAGGAATTCGCTCAATCGCCAATTAGCAGGAAATATTGCTGCATGTTTTTCATCATAATTTTTAAGGACTCTCTTTAGCCACGAATATCTTCTAGATGTATTTTCCAAAGATGAAATCTATTACATATAAAATATTCAATTACAAGTTTATATATTCCAAAAAAAATAGTCTTATACTATATTTTTAACACCTCATCTCTTCCTCGAAAAATTTTCTTGTAATCATTTAGTTGCTTCTCACAATACCATTTCATTAGTTGTAATCTAATTGGTTATAACAATTAATCCGTTTATACTGTGAATAATGATTATTCTAGCACCACTAATAATTTAATATTTGGCTACCTGACATCTAAACCCATTATATCAATTAC